TAGAATTAAGCACCGCCACTATATATAGTGTTATGTATACGTAGTAGCTATGGACGCACAGATGTATAATCTATAATTTTTTCAGTTACTAACCCTGACAGTTAATGTTTATCTTAAATCTAACAGATAATTAATACCGGTGCTTCCTCGCATAAAAAATGAGTTTGTACATCAGAAAAATCAAATAAATAGTTTAACTACTCATGGTCAGTGACTACTCGTACAACACTTAATTTTTTTATTACATAAAGTAAAAATCAGTTGTGCTGCTCATCGCTAAGGCTTGCTTGCTCAAAATAACATTTATTTTGCAAAAAAATTTAGTAAACAGTTAGACTTGTCTTTGTCAGCTTTGCTTGCCAAAGAATTAATTTATTTATCATAAAAATCTAATAAGTAGTTAAACTACTTATCACAAATGCTTGCTTGCCCTAAACATTAATTTATTTATTTTAAGAATCTAAGAAGTAGTCAGGCTATTTTTGTTCGGTGCTCGCTCTTCCAAGAAACCATTTATTTTTTGTAATATTCATCTGTTTCACCGCTAATAAATATAACTTGATTTTTATGAAAAATATCAACACTGCTGGTGATAAAACATGAAATCTTTACATGTTAATGCACTGAGTACTTTTCATAGTTCTATTTATCTGATGTAACAACTTTTTATCTTTACTTTTAGTTTCACACAACTTTTGTTAAGAATACAAAGATTTTCAAGATTATCTTGCAAATCACCACTAAGAAAATTGTGATATTTTCTCTTGAAGTGGGAGTCGTTAATATGATCGTACCAAGATTCAAAATTACTGCTGTGAAACGTCTGGTCCCTTGCTTAAGACTATTTGTAATACAAATTTATTGGTACTACCGTAAAAGATCTGATTTTATTTTTTTTCAATAGTAGTCTTCAGTTTGAATACCTATGTTTCTCTTTCATACTGTTCTTTTTTTAATAAATTAAAGAATTGTTGTCTGTAATTGCACTGTTGAATAAGTAAAAATAATTAAAACAGAAAAAAAGTAGCTTTAAAGATATATAAAAGAATTATTAAAGTATTTTTTAACTCTGTAACTTTCATTAATGACACACTGAACAAATGCAGGCAATCATTACTTGTCAAAGCTTTACAAATAAAGTTTTACATGCACCATGCCAGTTGTAAAATATCCAAGTAAAATTTCATTCTTACTGCAGACTTGAAGTAAAAATGTACGACTACATACTTGGCACAAGAACTTGACACTGGCAATCACTGCAATTCATCACTGCGGTATACTGAATTAAAAATACTTTTAGGTATACTGCAACTTAATTTTTTCATGCGTTGTCTGAATAAAATTTCATTTTTACCGAAGATTTGGACTGAAAATCCGATATCCGGGCATCGCGATCAGTGAATATCAACACACACGCGCACGCGCGTATGTACATATGGCTGTTCATGAAGATGAGAACCACTGTCTCAGCAGACGATACTCGTCCACGGTCTCGCAGTCACGGCTAAAAAGATATCCCCCTACCACTCTCTCAAGGTAGTAGAGTGGTGGTAAGAGCTTTTTTTCCCAATCTTAAAAAGGTTTACTACCTTAAGCAATTGACAGTCAGTTTTTTCTAAAATTTGTGCAGGGTTTCAAAATGTATAAAACAAATTTATTCAAAATTTCAACAACTCTGAGTGCTTATAAAACGAGAAATTAATAAAACAAATTTAGTGAATTTTACATGCGTTCTTACGGGAGATAGTCAAAAGCGAGTCTTATAATATAAAATTGTAATACAATTAACAGTCAGATTTGGACGAAACTGTAATCGACGGTAAATTAACATCCGCCTTTTTATCATGTAAAACAATAACGTTGATTGGGTATTTAAAAAAAAATTATTAATAAATAATCTGGATGTAAATACAACTCAATATTAAATTACGGGACGTGCGCACGCATCTCTGCCTAAAAAAGACAAAAAATCTGACCTCTCCTTTGCACCCCCTCCGTCAACCTCCTCTACTATCGAAATAAAATTTCTAGAGCATAAAGTGACTAAGCAAGGAATGGAAATTTTACCGGAATGAGTGGATTTGATTGAAAAATTTCCCGAGCCGAAAAATGTCATGAGCTTACAACAATTTTTAGGATCTATGAGTTATGTATCTAAATACATACCAAAAAAGTCGCAATTACTCGAACCATTAAATCGGTTGTTAAAAAATAGTGTAGCATTCGAATGAGTGAAAGAACGAACCCGTGCGTTTTAGGAGTTAAAAAACTTGCTGCGGAAAGCTCTTGTTTTAGCTCATTTTGATTATAATAAAACAATCATTTAAGCCTATGCTTCCAGCTATGGAGTAGGGGTAGCACTAATACAAGAAAATACTAAAAAAATACGTGAGGTCGTTGCTTATGCGTTGAGAACGCTTACTAACACTGAAAATAAATTTAGTTAAATTGAGAAGGAGGCGTTAGCTCTCGCGTATGCGACTGACTGATTAGAAGAAAGATAATTTTTCATGCGATAAAAATTTATTGATGTTTAATGCAAGCATTGTTATTTCTCCATCGATGTAGCACGAGCTTTTAGATAAAATTCATGTAGGGCACCAAGTAATAAGTAAGACGAGAGAACGTGCTAAGCAATCAGTGTGGTGACTTGGATCAAGCATCTTATTGAAAATTGCCCAAGTTGCATCAAGGAGCGAAAAAATCACAAAAAGCCTCTAGGAAGAGAAGATTTTCCTCGAAGGCCATGGCAAAAAATAGGCATTGATTTTTTAAAATTAAATAAATGGTACATGATATCAGTTGATTATTATTAGAGATTTATAAAAATATCAAAAACGATCAGTTTAACAGAGGAGGATACTATTCTAGGATTTAAAAAATTATTTGCGAGTTTCGGTATATCGGAAATCGTAAGGACCGATTGTGGTACGCAATTTTCATTGAGATTCAAGCAATTCGCCATTCAATATGGATAAGAACACATAACAAGCTCTCCACAAGACTCACAGAGCAATAGCGCTGTTGAATCTGTGGTAAAAATAGCTAAAAATTTACTGAAGAAATCCAACAACTTTTATTTAAGTTTGTTTGCCTATCAAACAACTCTTTTTCATAATGTATTTTCACCTCTGGGACTTATGTTCTCACGAAATATACGCTCAGCATTGCCGACACTACCTAAAAACCTTGGCACATTTGTAAATCATAAAAAGATTGCTATAAAAGAAAAAGAAAGGAAAGATAAGCAAGAATATTAAAAAAGGATGATCACGTCTGGCTAGTTAATTCACGAGTATACAGCAGTGTATTAGGTGCTGATAAAAATCCAAATGCTTATTTAATTGGAACTGAGAAGAGCAGTGTTAAGAGACATAATCATTGGAACCTTGTACCGGCACCGTATAGGCAAAGCCTCGATGATAGGGAGCATAGTGAGGAAATCCGATGGTTCTTTCATTTTAACAATAATGTTGTAAACGAAAACGAGCCCAGAGACGATGCGCTTCCAAGTGATGTTGGCAATGACATTGCTTTGCGTCGATCAAATCAAGAAAGAAATCCTCCAGAGCAACTAAATGTATAACTCGCACAATTTGTATCTTACAACATTTAATTAATGTTTTCAATAAAAATAAAAGACGTCATGAGACTGTACCCTAAGCGCCACCTGATCATGGGGAGGGTAAACTCAAGCAAGTGGCTAAGGAGATTAGATTAAGCCTGGTAGCCGAGAAGGCCAGTTTGCTCAGAACACAGACTCGTGGAAATTTCATCAATATTTACAACTGAAAAAGTAACACGATCCGTTCCTTTGTTGATGTATTTACAAATATATTTAATTGCTTGCACTAAATGCCAAAATTTTAAATTAATATGAGCATTGGAACATAGAGATAAGGCGAGTGAGTACGGTACAACCCAACGGTTTTAATTTGTACATCTTTACCACGAATTGTAACTACAGAACTATGACCTCTATCTGCAGGAGCAATTCTATAATAGATGGGGTAACCATCATCTACAGTTTGGGTTTCTCTTACGAAATTTCGAAGATACTTTTTTGCACATTTTTCATTATTCGAAGATAGTAAAGCCATGTTGGATTTGCCGCAAGGTCCATGAATCATACTTTTTGAAATAATATTGAATAGTGTTTGGGATTGAAAATCCAATGATTGTGGACTGTATGATTTGATTTACCGGTTGCGAGGGAAAAAAGTGGGAGCCAATTTGCTTGGGTTTATTGAAAGATTAACACTCACACCTTTTTATATATAACAAAATAATAAAGTATACTAACGGCAGACATTACAACACTTGATGAGAAAAAATAGAAAAACTGTGGTAAATAACAAAATTACGTTTTATGTGCGCTAGTTTAAGGATATTGAACGAAGTTTAAGAACTGTTATTTTACTTATATAATTAAACTGAAAATAATGTTGTTTGAGTCACGCGAGAAAATGTCTGCTTGGTTGGTGTACACAGTGACCACACTGTGGTTCACTGGACGAGCGATCGGTGTGGACTGACTAAATGCTCACAGGCGAGCAGTCGTGAGCAGCCAAAGTAACTTAAACGTGGAGCGCTATGATTGGTGGTCACGCAGGACCATCGTACGCATGCTATTGGTTACAAAATACTGAAGTTAATTGCTAGCGCGCGAATATATAAATTCTTTGAAGTTAATGTTTTGTAATACTTATTTGATGTTGAACATACTACCCAGGTTGATGGACAGCAGTCATTACGAATGTACATCAAAGAAAGAGAAAAATAAATGAAATAAGCAAAGTATAAAGTACAAATCGAAATTTGAAAATAATTATATAGACCACTTGTCTACTTACAAGGATAATTACATAATAATAATATGAACAAAATTTTAAATTGGGCTTACCAACTAGGTATTATATTTAAAATTTTAATCAATTTAAACTAATATGCTCCCCTTTTTTTATATTATCAACATTAAATTCTTTTTCTAAGATCCTATTCTAAGTTATTGGCGTCAATTCAGAGCTAGTTTTTAGCAGAATAAATTTGTGAATGGGTCTAACTAAGACAGTACTGCTGGTCCTAACCCTTACCACTCTGACTAGAGAGTTCGGGTCTTTAAAAATCTCTATTATTCGACCTAAAGGCCACTTGCCAGGTGAAGTCAACTCATTTTTTATAAGGATCAAATCTCCTACTTGCATGGACCTTTGAGGCGTAAGCCACTTGAATCGTTCCTGAAGGGTACTGAGGTACTCTGAGGACCACCTTTTCCGAAAAACCAGAACAGACTGCGATATTAATTTCCATCTTTGTAATGAAAAAACCCTTTCAGCTAGAAGGTCGTGGTCTGGGACAAAATAAGAAGCCCTCAGGGTTAATGAATGTGCAGGAGTTAATGGATTCAAGTCAAGTGGGTCGTCTGTCAAGGGGCAGAGTGGACGAGAGTTAAGGCAAGCCTCAATGCGACAGAGAAAAGTTGAGAATTTAACGAAAGTCAAGATTTGGTCACCCACAACTCGTTTTAGATGAAGCTTGGTTGATTTCACGTTTGACTCCCAAATACCACTAAAGTGGGGAGCAGCCGGTGGATTAAAATGCCATTGTGTTCCTAACGACGACAAGTTATCAGCAAATTGGTCTGACTGATGTTGATCCTTAAACATTTTTCTGAGCTCGTGGTCAGCTCCAACAAAATTTGTACCCTGATCACTGTATAAGTCAGTACAGTGACCTCTACGTCAGACGAAACGCTGGAAGGCCGCAATAAACGACTCTATTGAATAATCTTCCACAATCTGTAAATGTATGGCTTTAGTTGCTATACACACGAAAACAACGAAATAGCCTTTGAGTGTGCCCTTTCCACGACATTTTGATAGTTGAACTGGAAAGGGTCCAGCATAATCAACTCCTGTCTTCTGAAACGGAGGACTAGGAGTGACTCTGCAATCGGGAAGATCGTCCATTAATTGAGTTTGAGTTCTTGACTTGTATCGCTTACAAGTAAAACAATGACTGAGTTCTGTGCGCACTACTTCACGGCCTCGTAGCACCCAATATTTTCTCCTGAGAGAGACTAAGACCATTTCAACACCTCCATGTAACATGGTTCGATGAAAGTAGTCAATCAGTAGTCGAGTGATGTAGTCGTAACCATAAAGTATCAGTGGGTGTTTAGAATCTGAATCCAATAGCGAGTTGCTACGCCTACCACCTATTTGTAGAAGTTCATGAGTAAGCACTGGTGTAAGTTTACGTAAGCGACTAAACGATGGAAGCTGTTCAAATTCATCAGGCTTGAGACTTTGGTCTCGTCGAAGAAAAGCTAAATCGGCAGAAAACCAACGTTGCTGATGTGTGTAGACTAACAAGAGTGCAGCATTTTCTAATTCCTCGATTGATAGGTTGAATAAAGCTAAATTAAAATAATTATTTACAGAAATAAAAGGTAATATAGGTTTAAAATTGTCAGTATGATTGTTTGACTTTCTTTGAATTATTTTGACAAGGAGTCTATAAACAAATCCAAGACAGTACTCTAAGTAGTCTTTCCCATTTGGAATAACGTCCATACAATCCATTGACAAAGGTATCTAGGCCTTTATCCTTAACTAATATATTTACATGCGGAGTATCTTCAAGGAGGTCAATTTTGAGCTTTGGGTATTCGGGTTGGAACTCGTGTAGTATATCTGGGCTAGAAATCCATAAACGCTGTCCACTCATTTGACTCGGATAAATTCCCCGCGAGGCGATATCAGCTGGGTTTTGCTTAGACCTTATATGATGCCATTCAGTTTTAGGTACTATCTCGTAAATTTTAGAGCATCTGTTGGCAATAAAGGTAGGCCACTTAGAAGGTGGAGCATTTAGCCAATGCAATACATTTAAAGAGTCGGTCCATAGGTGGACAGGCGCTTCTTTGACAGGACAACAATCTGAGAAATGTCTAATTATTTTCACAAGAAGCTGAGCAGCGCAAAGTTCCAACCGTGGAATACTCAAAGTCTTAATTGGGCTTACTTTTGTTTTAGCTAATTGAAGAGTTACATCAACCCCTTGATTCTTGACAATACGAACGTATACAACTGCAGCATAAGCTGACTTAGATGCGTCTTCAAAACCATGAATTTCAAAGAAATCAAAATCAGGCGAAAAGAAATTCCAGCGAGGTATTGTAATTTGGTTCAACTGGGGTAATTCGTCCAACCAACTAATCCATTTAGAGACTATTGTTGGTGGCAAGGGTTGATCTCATGATACTTTAAGCAGCCACAGGGACTGAAAGAGAATTTCGCCCAAAATGATAACAGGCGAAAACCATCCCAAAGGGTCAAAGATCTTCGCCAACTGTCTCAATAATGATCGTCTCGTCCAAGACTGAGGACTAGGATCAACGACTAGTTAAAATTGAAATTCATCATTTTTGGGATTTCAAGACAAGCCAAGAACAGAGACCGTTTGATCATAGTCTTTGAATTCTTTGGGCTTGCTAATCTTAAACTTATCAGAGATCTTTGAGAGTACTTCCGCCGAGTTAGAAGACCATTTTCTCAGAGAAAAACCGCCTAATTGAGCTAAATCTAGAAGTTCAGCGCCCTTTTGCTGTGCTTCCGAAAGAGAGTGAGCGCCTGAGAGACAATCGTCAACATAGAACTCTTCTGAGATAATTTTGGTGGCTCTTGGATGTAAATAAATACTATCCATTGCCAGCTGTCGAAGAACACGATTAGCCAAATATGGCGAGCTGACCAGGCCATAAGTAACTGTAGTGAGTAAATAAGTTTTTACTGGATCAGATGGTTGTGAGCGCCAAAGAATAGCCTGAAAGACCTGATCCTTAGGGTGAACCGTTATCTGTCTGAACATTTTCTCCACATCAGTAGTGAATACAAAACTATAAAATCTCCATTTAAGAATGATCTCAAACAAATTATATAATAAATTGGGGCCTGAATGCAAAACGGAATTCAACGAATGGCCTTCACGATTTTTGAATGATCCATTAAATACAACTCTTAATTTTAAAGTTTCACCGTTAGTTTTATAAACACCATGATGGGGTAAAAAATATTGATCACGATTAAGTTCATGACCTTTCCTCATATGCCCCAAGGCTGAGTACTCAGTCATGAACTGGTTATAAGCCTTATACAATTCAGGGTCTCTGAAGAATCGTTGCTCTAGCTGCATGAGCATAGACAATGCAGCCTGATGCCAGAACTTATTAGCGGCTTTGAGGTCGTCTGCCGAAGCTTTAAAGGGCAAACGGACCATGTACCGGCCATCAGGTTGCCTGGAATGAGTGTTAGAGAAATGCTCTTCACATTCAGATTCCTCAGGACTTAACGTAGGTTTAGATATGGGCTCCTCAATCGACCAAAACTTATGTACAAGATCAAAAAGATCAGAATAATCTATGACATGTAAAGACACTGGGTCTGTTGAATTTAACGACGATGATGAAGATACTGGGCTGGACTGTAGCCAACCTAGTTTGGAAGATGAAGCTATGGGTTGACCAGCTTCACCTCTTTTAACAAAATTATTTATTATTGCAGCATGAACAGATGTGCATCATGTAATAAATCTATTTTATCCAAACCCAAAAAATTGGGATCAGCCAATTGCAGACCCTTTATATGGCTTAAGTTTATTACCTCACGACAAACTGGAGGTTTATAAGAAGTGATCCAAGGCACTACCAAAGCTTCAACCTCCAAACTAAAATTGGATTCAAAATGAGGTTGAATTTTGAATTGAACTGACTGTTTTACATTTACAGCTTGGTCTTCTATACCAGACAACGAGAAATTGGTACTGTGACTCTTAAAATTCAATAAGTCATAAAGAGATTTGGAGACAAGAGATGATTGCGAGCATTGGTCAATTAATGCTCTCACTTTGAGACTCGAACCATTAGAATCAACAATGTATATCACTGCAGTGGCAAGAAGAACTCTGGGTGCTCTGGGAAAGTTCACTTCAGAAGCAATACCGACATTAAGACATGACCTGTTTTTAGGATCAGGATTCTCGTTATTCTTTCTATTATTAGGTTTGCCCTTGTGAGAATCAAACTCATCTTTATGCATCTATGTGTTATGCCTTTGGTGACATTTAAAGCAATTAAATTTTGATGTGCACTTATTTGAACTATGTTTACCAAAACAATTAAGACAAATTCTTTAGCTTTTAACAAAACTCTTTTTTTCATTCCAAGGCTTTGATTTGAAACTGTCACATTGGTACAACTTATGAGTTTGATTACAGAACAAGCATTTTGGTGTATTGGTTTTAGAAGAATGAGCTGCAGTTTGATTCACTACAACTGACTTATTAGGTTTGCTCCTTTGATCCGGATTGATCGGGTTTTCTCTAGCAGAAGCTTCTAAAGTTATAATTTAAGCTGTTATGAACTCACGTAGTTGTCCTAGCGTAGGCACATTACTACTACTCCCCAGATGCTTCTGCCAATCTTTATTGGTGTGGAAATCAAATTTGCTAGTCACGAGAGCAATGAAAATGTCATTGTCGCCCATGTGTCTTCCCATGGCTGACAAAGAATCAAAAGGACCTAACATCTCCTTAGAAATGCGCTTCATTTCAGTGCAAGAAGAATTTTTCATGGTTTGGGCACTGATAATGTCGCTGGTATATGAGGACACTAATCGACGCTGGTTGTCGTAGAAGGCAAGGAGGGTCTCCCAGGCCTGTGTATAATTTTCCTCTGTGAGAGGAATATTCTTTATAAGATCTGATGCATCACCACGAACGCGAGTACGTAGATGCTGGTATTTAATTACTCCAGGGAGATCCTGCTTCCTATGCACCAGGGCTCTGAATACGTCCCAGAAGTTTTCCCAACACTCTAGTTTATCATCAAAGATCGGGAGATCAATTGATGGCAAAGAAGAAAAACTTTGGAAGTTATTTTGATTTGGAGCGGGGTTTTGAATGGGTGGAGCTGTACCAGGATTGTTGACGGAAAGTAATGTAGGTGGTCCTCAAAATCCCCAACAACCGAATAATATTGATCCTCAGCAGTCTCATATAACCCATTTTTAAACTAATTATGGTCCCTATCAAGAGATTGTAACTGCGAAATAGCAGCATTAATAAACTTAAACTGCATGAACGCATCTTTAACTTGCTGCAGTCGCGACACAGCTTGACCCCTTGTCATTTTGATGGTACCAAGCTTTTTAAAATTAATAAAAGCGTTTTTAATCCTGGTAAAAAGGCTAAGCTGAGTTGAATAATACGACTCCGTTGCAAGGGGTTAACCTCACCTGGCAGTGACAATCAAGCTAGCTCTTAACAGTACAAATTATTTAAATGAATATTATAATAAAATAGTAGAAAATCTCTAAATTGAATAGTTATATAATTAACGCAAATCAATAGTTGCACTAGTGCTTAAATAAACTGAAATTTTCTAATTTTTATCGCTAAATTGAATCGTGTAATTAAAAGTTATTTAAATTTACTAGAAATCGCAATTTAAACCTGTTGAAGGAGCAGCCGTAGACGACGCAGGCGATCAGCTACCTGCTTAATTGAGTGCGAAGAATGTATGCAGGACCTTGAAGACGACGATTATGTGCACAGGTATTCCGGCCCACGCAATGGGTATCGAGGCATTGAAGTGGCTCAATAACAACGACGGTTTACGTTGAACCTGCAGGCGATTGCGGCCTGCAGCTATGATGAGAAGCCCTTTCAAGTACTATGATGCCCTGCTGTGACAGGCGAGCACACCGTAAGTGTTAGCCCGCTGCCGATAAAACCCTTGTTGTTCTGTGGAGCAAGAAGGTTTATAAGTACGGCATACAAGGGAAATTAAAAGAGCGAGGGCACCAATGGCCGACTATGTGCGAGCCATGTGCTTATAAGTGCAAGAGAGCACTATGTATATATGGCTACGAAGGCCAAGGCTAAATATAAGCCAATTGTTTTCTATGTAGCTAAAAGCTATTTACCAAAGTAGCAAACGAGTAATAGTACTCGAGCTAGTACAGCTAAAAATAAGCTGAGCTTTTATATGAAGCTAAAATCTATTTACCAAAGGTGGCAAACGAGTAATAGTACTCGAGCCAGTGCACGAAAAAAAAAAAATAAGTCTGTCTGCGCAACGCAGGAAGAACAAGATGGCCAGCGAGTATGTACTAGGGCCTGTGCACTAAAAGATGGTGACAAATCGCACGAGAAAAGTGTAGCAATAAGCTACACAACGAAGGCAACGAGTATGTACTGGAGTTCGTGTACGATGAGAAAAAGCACTGAACTTACCACAGGTACCAAGTGTTGTTGTATACGAGTGTGTGTGAGAGAGAGAAACATACGCCCAACGCTCCGGCGCACTGACCGCGTCCGCACGTCGCTCGTGAAGAAGAAGTTGGTTAAGATGGCTGACTTCGTAACTCGCACGTGGCTAATAATAAGCCGAAGCTCTCCACTCACCCTTTTGATCCGGCTCGAAGAACAAATGTTTGGGATTGAAAACCCAATGATTGTGGACTGTATGATTTGATTTACCGGTTGCGAGGGAAAAGAGTGGGAGCCAATTGCTTGGGTTTAT